CTGTCACATGGTGTCTTTTAAGCTCATTTTATTTCAGCATGCTGGTTTATGTAATTAATTTTTCTAGTTAATCACAGACCAGAACTGGCTCCTCCAGAGCTGAGTCAGCATCTAACACTAGAGGGGGTTCTTTGCCGAAACGGCTTTGTTATCCAACGTTCAAGGACCTCTTGAAGAGAGAGCCCTCAAAAGTAAATACTTTTTAATCTATCACAGGGAAACACAATGCAAGACTAAGGTCAGAAGCTAAAAATGGATGTATTGAAATGAGAAACTAAGAACAAGTGTAAGGCAATTAGCCATGGTGGCAGGATGAAAGCAGTGGATAATACAATACCTGAGGACCAGTACCCCACTTGCATTTTAGCCTTTCACCAGTGACATTCACTGTCTCCCAAATACTAGTTCTCTTTGAGCTTCTGAATCTGGTTGACAGAATATGTTTCCTCTACCCACTCTGATGTCTGGGGATTTCTTCCTCCCTCCCTTTCTCTTGAGCCCTGACCTGGATAGCCCAGGCTAGCCCACCCTCATCAGATTTTGGAAGCTAAGCAGAGTTGGCCTTGGCTAGTATTCGGGTGGGAGACCTCCAAGGAATACCAGGATCACTATGCAGAGGCAGGCAATGGAAAGCCATCTTTGAACGTTTCCTGTCTTGCAAACCCATGTCATCTGTGACATGATGGCACTTTCCACGACCACCTTTCTCTTGTGAATCAAATGAAGCAGGATTCAAACCAGGGGGGAGAGGGGGAGGGAATATGGCACAGGTCTTGTGTGGAGAGCCCTTTGAGCGTATGCCGGTGCTTGATCTGGATAGCCCAGGCTAGCCCTGTCTTGTCAGATCTCAGAAGCTAAGCAGGTTCAGCCCTGGTTAGTATTTGGATTGGAGACCACTAAGGAAATCCAGAGTCCCTATGCAGAGGAAGGCCATGCCAAAACACCCCTGAATGTCTCTTGCATTGAAAACCCTACAGGGTCACCATGTCAGCTACAACTTGACAGCTCTTCACACACACATACAGACACATGTGCAGCTGCTGGAAACTTGGACACACAGTTACTAGTTCTCTGATGAACAAGAATACTGTAGAAAATGAGAAAACAGAAGCATATATATATTCACCTGGTTATGCCACCCAGTTCTGGCAGAGTATTATATGCTTATGGAATCCCCCCCCACCACCTGGAGATCTTTCATATTGGATCAAGAAGATCCCTTGCAGTGAAAGGGTTCTCACAGTTGGCTGTGAGGGAGGGTTGCATGTATCCATAATGATATTTTGCACTGAAATATCAAATTGGAGAATCAGCCTGGAGAAAGAAATCAAGATCTCTGGTTTCTTCTTGTGCCAGGTGGTGCCTTCCCAGATGCATACAATGCCAGTGAATTCATACAACTTTTAATTTTATTGTTTTGAACTGCTTTGGGCCCCTTTTGGGAGAAAAGTGGAAACAAATATTTAAATACATAAATAGTATATAACTTATAATTTTCCTATGTGCCTCTTGACTAGAAGGAGGCAAGGTTAAGAACATTACATTACATTTGCGATTTATATACATAAATCGCAAATGTAATATACATATAGTCAGGGTCCGGCATGCCTGAGGGACCACCTTTCCCCACATGTTCCCTGGAGAGTACTGCATTCAGGGATGCAAAATTGGTTGGCCCTTCCAGGCCCCAAGGATGCCAGGCTCCATTCTGGTGGAATGAGCTCCCAGAAGAGTTCAGGGCCCTGTGGGACCTTTTACAGTTCTGCAGGGCCTGCAAGACAAAGCTCTTCCATCAGGCGTTTGACTAAGGAGCTGCATCATACACTGAGGAGTGTCCCTGTGCCCTGGCTTTACCACCTTTGCCATCCTGCATCCTGACTTTACCATCGCTATCTTCAGCCTGTTCCCACCATATAACAAGTGACCGAACTGAGCTGGTGTGAAGTTATGGGAATTATACTGTTCCCTAAGTTATAAATAATTTTTGCTCCTGTTTACTCGATAAAGTTCCAGCGTTTTAGTTGTGCTTTAAATGATTGGTATTTATGTTATATGTTATGATAGGTTTTAATTGTATTTTTATGAAATGTTTGTAAGCTGCCATGAGCCCGCCTTGGTGGGTAGGGTATAAATTAAATCAATAAAATAAAATAATTAATAAATAAAATCACCCACTAATATTCTACTCCTGTAATAGCACACACGTGGCTAAAAAATAAACAAAATATTTATTTAGCTTGGAGGTGGAAAGCTCAGGTGGAATCAGGGGAAGGATGTATGAGGTGAATCAATAATAAAAACTGAGGTAACTTTGTAATGACACTTTGTTGCCAACAAATGTTTTTGCTTTTTAAAAAGGTCTTTGAAACTTTGAGGAGAGAGGCTTTCTTTTCAGTTTCTGCCTTAACTCGCATAGGTTTTTGAGTTTCACTGACACTTCATGTTTAGAAGGCAGGGATGTACAACAAAGTTCCCAAAATCCTTCTGTCTCCACAGGCCACGGATCACTCCTCTTTTAAAAGTTATCTCCCTTTTCACTGTGCAAAGATTACTTCTCTTGACTAAAAGCTCTGCCTCTTTTTGGCTTAAATGGGGATCTTCTGTGATCTTCTCACTCCTCTTGCCTCCTTCCCAGTCCTCAGTCAGTGCTAAACTGTCTCTCCTTCAACTGACAGTTCCCAAATGTCATTTCTTAACTGACTCTCCACAGAATTCTGTTTGAACAGCCTGTCACTCAAAGGTTCTCAGTCTCTGTGAGGCATTAACCCTTGATAGTCTGTCAAAAGGGGTAACTCCTGCTTTATACTTTTCACTTTCCCCCTTGGAAGAGCCCTGGTTCAGTGAGCATTATATTAATTGCATGCAGAAGATCCCACATTCAATCTTTGGCATTTCCAGTTGCAAATCTGGGAAAGACCCTGCAGTCCATTATATCGTTGCCACACTGGTACTCAGTCAGCAAGAAGGAACAAGGGTTTGATTAAGTACAAGGCAACTTCTTATACAGCTTATTAGATAATCTTCTAAGGCCCTGACCTGGATAGCCCAGGCAAGTCCAATCTCATCAGGACTCAGAAGCTAAGCAGGGTTGACTCTGGCAAGTACTTGGGTGGGAGACCTTCTTGGAATACCAGAAGTCAGGAGGTGGGGGCAGGCTTTATTCAGCCACCTCTCTGAATATCCTCCAGGTCCCCAGTAGGTGTCAGTCACCAGAGGTTGCCATGATTTCCAGGTGCACACAGTCAGTCACCAGAGGTCGCCGTGCCTTCCAGGTGCATACACACACACGCATGCACATATGAAAAATGTTTAAAAATCCAAAATAGAGAGAAAAATAATAGATAATCTTCTAAGGTCAGGCGGTTGCTCAGAATTTGTGGTGTGGGGTGTATGTATAGGATGGGGAGCCTGCCCAACATGTATAAATGACTAGTTGACTGTGTATTTGTATATTATGAACAAATGTACTTGCATTACAAATGTCACTATATATTGTAAAATAATTACAATTTAGGTATTGCACTGAATGTGAACTGGGGTTGTGGCCATGTCCAGCAAATCTGTGGAAACACCTCCTATAATCCCAAAGTATGATGGATCCTTCCTGTGCATGACTGGTGTGGCTTCTGCTGCATAGTGAAGAGAGAAGGATGATGAACAACACACTGGCATATCATGTGCATGGGGCCAGACAGCCCCACAACCCATTATGGAGCAATACAGTAAGGAAGGGGAATCAAATGAACTCACCCCCATCTCTTACTCCCACTGGAGATTCAAATTTTCCATTCATGCAAGATGGAGGAGGGGTGATTTCCCCCAATTTCCTCTCCTTACTGCAGTCCCCCCTCCACATGCTTTGTTCATGAGGCTCCCTCAACCCCAACATTGGCTTTTGCAGAATCCGACCCTAAGCCTGCCTCCATGAACAAATTTATTGGGTGAACTGCTGGCTGATAAGAACTCCCTTTTATAAGACATGGATATGGACACTAGCTTAAGTGGCAAATTCATGGAGGGAGGTCTGTCAATGGCTTTTACTCACGATAGCTAAACAGTACCTCCATGTTCAGAATACCTCTGGATATACAGTGCAGAAACTACAGGAGAGGATTGTGCCCTTCCAGCTTTCTTGTAAGTTTCTCAGAGGCTAGCCACCATTAGAAACAGAATGCTGGGCTGGTTAGACTGATCCGGCAAGGCTTTTTCTGACTTAAGGGCTTATCTAATGGGGGGTGGGGACAATATGGAAGATGCCAGGTTTCAAATAAAAGGCATGACATTAGAAATCTCTATATTCACTTGAAAACTAACTTACATTCCTGACCTGAGATCAAATCCATTAAACGTTTCCAGGAAAATGTTACAGCAAAAGTGAAGGTTACTATAAAGGTGTCCTTCCTGACTGTACCGAGCAATGGAACATAATTCGCATTCTTATGGACTGGAGCAAATTGTCCCTTTTAACTGTCCTCATTTCCTACTGAAACAACAGTAGCCTCTATTTGTCACAGGATGACACCACATCAGTTAAAAAAATCACATTTCTTGCACCTATATGCAACCATTTGTGGTTCTTGCTATGACCTCAGAATGCATTACTTCTAGAGATATCAGACAGGAATCCAAAAGCACAATCACTTTAAAACAACAACAACTAGAAACAGTTAAACTTTAGGGAAATAACATGTTTAATTGCTGACATTATTGGTTAACAATTAGTCCATACTGAATAGAACAGCCTTCTCCCTTGCAAATGAGCAACCCATATATTTTTAAGTAGGCATATGAGTGAAAAATCCAATTGTACCACTGGACAAAAAAAAAAGAGATTCATCGTTTTTATGAGCCTCTTGTTTTCTGGAGGCATCAAAGCACACTGCAGCTGTTGTTATGTAAAGGCGGAATAAGTGTCTTGCCTTGGACAATTTGCTGGTGTCAGTGAGTTTGGCGTTACTGACATTGCAGCAGGCCAACTCCCCCTCATTTGGACAGCCCTTCTAGGCCATCTGAATTTCTCCTGGACATTGTTCTACTTTAGGCAGAGGAGGTAAGTGGTCCTGCAATTCATGGAGGGAAGCCTCTCTCACTCCACAGGAAGGTGCCTCTCCGGCCGGACAGCCAAAATCCACTTTGTCTTTCTGAGAAATCCCTCCACTCTTCAGTCCCTTCTCAGAGGCATTGAGGTCTGCCTTGGCTTCCACACTGATGTCTGTTTTTGATAAGCCAGTGTCGGAATCTGGTGTCTCCTGGGAATCCGGCATGCACAGGCAGGGTGAGGTCATATGGTTTCCTTTCTCTGCTTGCGGCTGTTCCAACAGCTCTGACCCTTGCGTACTCGTCGGTGCTGTGGCTCCCTCAGGAACTAGCATCCCCCTTGCTGGCTTTATCTCTCGCCACACAAAAGCACCCTGTTTCTGGAAAGGGAGGAAAAGGTTGATGTTAACCAGGGGGATGTAAGCCGTGAGGAGACGCAGCTGTGAGCTGAGTTCATTTGTTAGCTCAAGTGCTGGCACGGCATCATTCTCACTCTCCTCTGGCCAATGGAGAAACATGATGATAGCAAGGAAGAACAGAAGAATGGCTGAGCCACCCGTTGCTCTAATTTGTGAAGTAGGGGAGGGGCAACATTCGCAAAGAAAGCATAACTGACATATTGCCTTCCCTGTCCCCCCACCCCACCCCATATTCAGCTTCACAAGTGTTCTGGTACTTGCAGTGTGTGACTTGCATATATTTCTGCTGGGCAAAGTCTATTCCCATTCAGTTTCAGTTCTTCCAACATGGGTTGCTATGGATACAATTCTAAACCGTTGCCTTTTGCCAGCCAAAAAGATTTATGACCACTTACCAAATCACTTTGGTCATTAGGGGTCACATGAAACAACAGGATAACATTTTTTTTTAAGGCGGGGAAGAGACCAAAAAACAGAACTAGAAACAAGCAGAATGTGCATGATAACACGATCTATTATTTAGAGATCCAGTTCAAACTTTTTGGACTTTGTGAGAAACTGAGCTAACTTGAGTGGCTGTAATCCCAGTTTTCCTGGCCCTTTATTAATTCATCCCTTTTTACGGATCTCCCCTTCCTACTTTTGTCACTTTGATCTTTCACACATCTGTATCTTGTCCATCTATTGTAGTTCAAAATCCTGCTCAAGAGAACCAGCAAATATGCCATTTTGGGGTTCTAAGCAGCCTCTGGGGACCAGATTCAGCCAGCGAGGCTTACACTGCACTGATAGCTGAACCAGGCCTCGCTCACAGAGCAGATTGTGTCTACCGTATTTTATCCCACCCTTTCTCAAAGGAGATCATGGTTCCTCCCCCCTTCTTCATTTTATCCTCACAACAAGCCTGTGAAGTAGGTCAGGCTGAGAAAAAGTGACTGGCCCAAGCCCACCCAAGGAGTTTCGTGGCAGAAGGGAGCCTCCTGGTTCCACATTCAAACCAATGTCACTATAATCCTTCTGTTTTCAGAAAGCAACATCAGCGTACGTGGCTCTTTGGGCACTGAAACTACAGTGGTAGCAGTCCCATGTCTGCTACTTTGTCCTGGGAGTCTTTACTAAGGCAAGGAGTAGTAACTTGCCAAGATATTTTACACCCCACCAGGGCCAACAGGACAGCAGGGATGCCATTGGCTCATACCTAGCACTGGCAAGTCTAGCATGCTTAATCATGTTCCCTAGTGCTAGAACAATGTGCTGGAAACCTTTGGGTAAACACATCCTTCTGGTTTACTGCTGAATGTTAATAGCACAGGATACACATTGCCTTACCTTCCCTTGGTAGGGGATACAGGGAGTTACTCTGGCATTATAGTGATGTTTGAAAGAGATCTCCTCTTGGAAAATCCTTGGAAGTCTGGTCGGCATTTGAGGAGAGGCAAGTGGAACTGGAATAGAAAATGGTCAAATTCACACAGAGAACTAGATATGGGATCTGTTTACACCCATACCATATACCTTGAGCCAGGTTTGCAGGTGGAACCCCACAAAGCCAGAAATGTGGCGTAGACGGCTAGGTCTTGGGGCTTCACATTGGAGTCCCAGATTCAAATTCCCACTGTGTCATAAATTTACAGCACAACCATGAACCCGTTGCTCCCACTCAGTTTACCCTACCTCGAAGGTTTCTTATTGTAATAAGCCACAACAGACAAATAATGAAAGGATGCCCAATAAATACCAGAGGGCTGATTTGTTATCTCAGAGGCATCGATGTGGGTACAATCCAATTCTGGATTGGCACGGTCTGTGCTGGGAGTCATCAGGGCTGGACAGATGCTGAAGCACAGCCCTCCTAAGGGCCGACTTTTTGAGGGCCACTCCCACTGTCTTGTTTCTCATTTGGTGCATGACCTTGAAACTTAGAAGACCTATACACACAGGGACCCCCCCCAAACATGATCCTCTGGCAGCCTAGAATAAAATATCCAGCTTGATATTAAATTGAGGAGGGGGCTGGAAATGGCAGGAATTCCCCTGGCCACTCTAAAAATAGAGAGTAGCCCACCTGCTGGAATGCTCTATGGAGTACACTGATAAAAGGTCTTTTCTCTCAGGCCTCTAGATCTCCCTCGAACCTTGGCTATGAATAATTGCCTCAAGCTTGCTGGACAATAACCGAGGCCCCTGACTCTGCCAAAGCCCCTCCACTCCCCAAGCTCCTAGGCAGAATTTTTAGTCCTGCCCCTGCTATTTTCAGCCTGAGCACATCCCATTGACATCCCAGTTCCTTTCTGTACCTCAACCACTAGTCTCGCCATCCAAGCTCCCCTTATTTTCAAACACTCCAGTAAATGTTCAAGTTTCTACCTTGTGTCCACTCCCATCCCAGTGAAGTCACTGCCTCCTGGATACAAGTAGAGGTGTATAAAAATCACTCTCCAGACCCTCCCACCTTTGTAGCTGGTTTTTGGACCCTAGCCTGCTTCCTCGGCCTTAGGGTTGTTTGTCTTTCTGGACTCCAACTCTTTGGCTGAAATCACTGAACTTCCCCCCTCCTTTGAACGTCATCCCCAGACCTGCTTTTCATCACTGGCCCCTGAACTGGACTCTTGACTGTCTTTTCTCTTCAGGATCAGGATCATGTATGTTTCCTTTCTCCCCTTTATTTCCGCCAAACACCCGCTGCATTCTTTACTGTAAATCAGCCCCCTTTCCCCCCCCAGATTCCCCCCCCCAATAATGCACAGGCAAAGGTTATGTATTTGTTCTTGTATGCAACTGTTTTACTGTCTCATTTTTCTATTCTTGCCATTCCATTTTCCAAGCGGAATAAAGATTTTCTCAATTAAGAGCTATTTCCCCCCTCACTCTGTTGGAACTGCTGCCCTGAGTGGGACACTGGTATACAGCAGAAGATCCCAATGTTTATTTCCCAGGTGATATGTCGGGTCTTCTGTGTCCAAAGGACTCTTTGTACATTATAGCCTTGGTACTGGTACCTATTTGGGTAACAGCCAGATCCTATCAGAGGTAGGTAGCTTCACACGAAGGGACAATACATCCCAGAGACCCTTTTGCAAATTACTTTTAAAAAATCCAGCCCTGGTGTGGGTAAAACACATGCTCCCCAACTGGGCGTTTTGTCCCAAGTGAGGGTTGCCAACAGTCTGAAGGTAAGGTGTCCTGTCCTGTTAAATAGTGGGTTCCATGGATGAGCAGGCTCGAGTCTAGTGATCAGCTCAACTTTATTTGTGATTTCAGCAAGAGCAAGACAAGAACCCCAGAGCCTCAGCTCTGTTAAATAGCATGCAATTGCCACACTCAAACACACCCCATGCCCAGTGATAGGCTATTTACATAACATTACTACTTGATTGGTTTATTTCAGAGTCCTGGTAAGCTATTGTTCTTATGCTCCAAGCTCAGCCAGTCTCTGGTATGACATACTTGGAATGATTCAGTCCCAATACACAACATGTCCCTTTAATAAAGGCTTAACGGAATGTTACTTACCAGGTGCTGTTACATACCTCCATGCATGAAAAGCTTTAACTGAACTGGCCATTTCCACATATTAAGCTTCTGTTAAAAGGACAGGACATTTTTCTCCACAGGAGCCCGACAAGTGGCTGGGTGTGTGGCTCATAAATAGGTAGCATTTTTCTCCAGAACTAGAGTCTCACCTTTGCTGGAGTAAGGGATTCTGGCATGTTCTCTAGGGGGACAGCAGTCCAGGAGACACCAGCTTGAGGGCGGTATTCCTCAGGGGGCAGTGCTTTCTCTGATGTTGTTTAACATCTATATGCACCCCCTTGCCCAGACTGCCCAGAGGTATGGGCTGGGGTGTCACCAGTACGCTGATGATACCGAGCTCTATCTGATGGTGGGCGGCCATTTGGACTCCGACTCGGAAGATCTGAACCAGGCATTGCAAGCCGTGGCTAGCTGGCTTAGACTGAGCTGGCTGAAATTAAACCCGTCAAAGATGGAGGTCCTGTGCCTGAGTCGGGGAGGCCTGGGGATCGGGATCCCTCTCCCGACCTTCGATGGGGCGCCACTGGTGCCAGCGCCGGAGGTGAGGAGTTTGGGAGTGCTCCTGGACCCTTCCCTAACCATGGAGGCCCAGGTGGCAGCCACTGCTAAGTCGGCCTTTTACCATCTTCGGCTGATCCGGCAGTTGGTTCCCTTCCTCGGCCGCGAGGACCTGGCTACAGTGATCCACACAATGGTCACCTCAAGATTAGACTACTGTAATGCTCTCTAGATGGGGCTGCCCTTGTCGCAAATCCGGAAGCTGCAGCTAGTGCAGAATGCTGCAGCCAGGCTTTTGATGGGTGTCCCAAGATGGGGGCACATCTGGCATGTGCTGAAAGCACTGCACTGGCTGCCAATAGCATACCGAATTCATTTCAAGGTGCTGGTACTTACCTTTAAAGCCCTATATGGCCAGGGTCCGACATACCTGAGGGACCGCCTTTCCCCACACATACCCCAGAGAGCACTACAGTCGGGGGCACAACATCGTCTAGTGATTCCAGGCACCAAGGAGGCCAGGCTCACCACAACCAGGGCCAGGGTCTTTTTGGTGGCGGCTCCTACCTGGTGGAATGAGCTCCCAGAGGAGATCAGGGCCCTGCGGGACCTTCTACAGTTCCGCAGGGCCTGCAAGACGGAGCTCTTCCGCCAGGCTTTTAACTAGGAGCTGCTCACCGCTACCGCCAACTATTACTGTTAGTAACATTGGGGCAGTAGATGGCCCTGTATGGAGATTGAGCCACAGCAATGCGGGAGACCGGATACAGGAAACAGGATCTACTGTTACTTCTACAGTTCGCCGTCTTTATTTGACTGAAGGATTGATATGTCTTGAGCACTTTAATTGTAATATGGGCTGTTTTATCTTGTTTTTATATATTTTATATGCCTGGGCACACGTTGCCCCTGAATATGAGGTGCCCTGAGCCCGCTCGCGGGGGAGGGCAGGATAGAAATGTAATAATAATTTTAAAAATAAAATAAATGTACTGCACTCCCCTCAAACCCCCGCATCAGCCATGCCTCATCTGCCCCAAGAGTTAGATGTCATGTTGCCCTAACCCTACGACCTCAAAAGCTGGAGCCACCTCTTTCAATTGGCCACAGAGATCACAGGTGATCTGTAGCAAGTCAGAACTTCTGAATGTAACATTTCCATAAAGTTGCTGTGAGGCTAAAACATGGGATGGGACATAAATGTAGGAAGTACATGAAATTCAGCATATCCCAGCATATTTTTAGCACCCCTGCCCCACAATCTCCTGCTGTCCATTCTGTTCCTGACACACATATCATACTCCCTGCCTGAAGACCCTAATGATTTTACACTGGCTTCTCACCTACTGATTTTGCATACATTTTTGTCTGTCTTACAGCTGATAAAAGCACAGAATTCTAGCTTTCCGGAATTCAACCATGGTTATTCTTAAAGTTGAAACAAAATTCCTTTGTAGTAAGGTCTCATTCAGATGTAACAGCAATCCCTGCATGAGCTTTTTAGGAATATTGGTTCTGCAGCACTCACTCAGAGGCTCTGTTTGGAAGAATCAATACCTCTACATAAAAGCTGTCTCTGCAGCCATCATGATGTGCACCCTCACCCCATGGCACCCCTATGGCAGCTACATGAACAGCATGCATATGGAGGCAGCAGTCCTCACAAAGAACACCTTGGGTCTTGACATCAGCAGGCCCACATGGTTCTAAAGTCTGAAATAAGCCTAGGTTGTATGGAATGTGAAAACAATAAGACTTGCTTCCAAAGAAATATATTTTGGAGAACAATGACTACAAGGTATCCCAATCTATTCCAGTTGGAGAATCTCTCTGCCAGATCTCCTACCTGGACTCCAAGAGCGATCACATATCTGCCATGGCTGAAGCCAAAACTGAAAAAGTTCTTAAATTTCAGAGTGGGTCTACTTCCCAGCAAATCAAGTCAACCTGCCCAGTACATTTCTTTTGTTCTCAGAGCATCCCTGAAGTCCAAAAGTCAAATCCTGGAAATGTTAAAAACCTTGTGTTGTTTTGATTTTGCTTCAAGGAACCCATGCCTGAAGAACAGGGAGGCAGTGGGGCCCTTGGATGACCAAGGGGTAAAAGGAGTACTGAAGGATGATAGGGAAATGGCTGAGAAGCTAAATGCATTTTTTGCCTCTGTCTTCACTGTGGAAGATTAGAAGTGCTTGCCCACTCCAGAACCGCTGATTTCGGGAGGGGTGTTGAAAGACCTGAGTCAGATCGAGGTGACGAGAGAGGAGGTCCTAAAACTCATAGACAACTTAAAAACTGATAAATCACCAGGCCCAGATGGCATACATCCGAACGTTCTGAAAGAACTCAAATGTGAACTTGTGGATCTCCTTACAAAAATATGTAATCTTTCCTTAAAATCTGCCTCCATTCCTGA